CGATGTAACAAACTTACAGGTAGATCAGCGACATGAACGGGATGATGTGCCAATCAAGCTTCCGCAAAAGCTTCTTGGTGGAGTGCATGTCCCATGTTTGCGACTCTGCGAGCTCGACCGACTCTGCGCGAGTTGCCGTCTTTTCCGACTTCAAAGCGCTGTCGGTGTCCATGGTGAGATTTCACTGGATATCGTAGCACACCAAAGCCAGAATAACGACGAGTGATGGGCAGACGGCCTGGATACAAGTATTCAACATTTCCGCGGAGGAAAACGACTGCCGAGGCCAAGCTTTTAACCCCCATACTCTACCCCGATGCCAATGTTGCCAATGTTGAGTGATCCCCTCCCTGTCAGCATCAAAAAAGAGGCGTCTTATCAAAGCCCTAACATATTGCCACCCGCGCGCCCAATAGATCTTACTGAGACATGAGAGACTAGCCCTGAAGGATCACTGATGGAACATGCAGGTCAGACAGGAGGTCGTACAGGTGTCGCTTTCTGGCCAATTGATCTAGAACACAGCATGCATCTCATAAACTTTACCGGTGATCAAGGGAAAGAGGAGAAAGCGCTGCGGGCCGATGTACGGGGTCCAATAGACTCAAGAGATCGTTGCAACCTTCCCGAAGCGGGGATGGGACTGGGGTAACATCGCGGGAAAGGCGCCCTCGCCGTTACTAGTTGCGGTTGGTACATGATCCTTCTGTTGCAGGAGAAGCGCCTCCTCAGAAGCACGTCTTACGGCGGAAAGCGATAGGCATGTCAGTCTTTCGGAACAGTGTCCAATTGAGGGATGGGCGGAGGCATGCCTGGAATGCATGGTCATGAATAAGAAACGTGTCGGGCTGATAGGCAACTGTAATGGGTAAGGCTCTCGGTCGTTGACATGTAATTTGAGGTATTTGATTCGGCTGACAAGCACGAAAAGCAAAAAGCGGTAAGTTTCTCGCAAGGGACAGCGTGGCCTTCAATAGCCACGTGTGTGTTGCAAGAGGCCTGGAACATCATCTGTGGCAAACGAGGGCTCGACTGATTGGAAAGCATTTTTAATCTAAACATTATTTATAGCAGGACTGAGATTTTTCGGGTAGAGACATTGGGCGTATCCAGAACTTTGGGCTCGCTGGCCCCTTTCAAGCAGGGTGTGTGCATTGTGGTTGAGTCACTGGACGCGCCGTTGGCCTAATTTGCCATGAGGTGGCTACTTTGGGTGCAGCAGGTCACACGCAGTCTTTTTCATCTCTATCAAGACTCAGAACTTGATGTTCTTCTTTGCTCTTCGCGTGTCGCAATAATCCTGGAAACTGTTCGTTACCAGACATCCTGAACCTCCCATCCCAGTAAGCAACCGCAATACCGTGAGTCCAGCCATATTGGGCGCCAATGCGCAGCCGATGGTGAAAAGGTAGAAGCATATATCTGCAGGGCTGATAACGCCTTTCCTACCGTACAGCTCGCACAACGGTGCAAGAATGAGTGGCCCGATGACATAGCCCAATAAGTAGATAGTCACGCTCAAGGTGGCGAGAAGAGAATTGGTGTTTCCGAATTATCTGTTGATTGATGGTATTGCAGGCGAGTTAATCGCGGATGCAAATGAAGTGGCCATGCTGATGGAGGACAATATATGCCCACGATAAACCATTTTCCAGACGAGGTAAAATTGCGTGGCATAGCCGGATCATCCTGGGATTCCCACCCAACGACCCCGGCGCGTAGATCGGGTACTGGAATACACTCTACCTCAGGGTTCGTGATCTTTTCAGATCGGTCTTCAGGCATTGTGCTCGCCATGATGTGCTGCGGTGCTGACTGGCTAACAAATGCAGATAAGAAGCACCCGACGGCACAGCGACTCAGTGCTGTTGTCTTATCCCATTGACTGCTGAATAACGCCAAAAACCCCAACCCACAAAAATGTCCACTTTTTCCCCTCATAGAGGTAGTATATCTAGAGATATCACTTCTCCCTATAATTTTATCCCTATTTTTATACTAAAATTATCATTTTGATTAATATTATAATAAGTTTAGATAACTCTAATGCTTCTATAGGGTCTATTTTATTAGTTTAAAGCTATATTATTGTTACTATCCTATTAGAGGACCTTATTATTACTTATACTTTAGAGTATATTTTAGAGTATTATAATAACGCTATAACTTAGCTTTATAAAGCTCTTAAAGTTAAAGCTAGAGCTTTAGGCTCTTTTTAACCTTTTAAAATATTATTTTAAGATACTAAGATATAAGATCTACTAAAAACGCTATTAGACCTCTTTTTTTACTTTATCCCCTAAGAGCTTATAGAGTAGTAAGCTAAGTAGATAAATAATATACTAGCGCTAAAGTTTTAGAAGTATTACTTAAAAAGCTATAATTAGTATCTTATTTTACTAGAAGAGATCTACTTATACCTTAGTATTCTTCTTTATATAGGAAACTATATAGAAACTTTAATAGAGTAGTATTAGTTTAGCTAAGCTAAAAAGGAGGATCTTATCTATTATTTTATTTAATATATCTCTTAGAACTAGTTCTAATTTCTTTTCTAGAGGTTTTATATATTTAATATAGCTAAGTTTAAAGCTATTAACCTTATAGTATTAATAGAAAGTTAAAGTTAAAGCTAAAACTAGCTAACTAATATAGAGATATTAAAGATATACTAATAAGTTAATAGCTAGTCCTAATATATTTAGAAAACTAGAGATAACTTCTATTATATTAGATTAAACCTTACTATTAATAAGGCTATAGTTTAGTTTATAAGCTAGTTACTAGAGATAATAATAATACTAAATAAGCTAACTCTAACTAGTTTTAAGGTTTAAATTTTAGCTTAAAAAGGATACTACCTCTAGTAGCTATAGTATATATATAGTAAGGAGCTATATAGATTAGTTTTATAGGCTTAGCTAGCTTAGAATAATAATACTATAAAATAAGCAGTATTAACCTTAATATAGTAAGTTATAATAACTCTTTTAACCCTATTTCTAGCTAATATCTACTATATATTTCTTAATAATCTCTTTACCTCTATTTAGCTTCTCTAAGCCCTCTAAAAAGTGAATATTAAAGCTATAGGGACTTACTAAAAGGATAGAGGTATTAATAAGATCTTTATAGCTAAAAAAGAGGATAATAGTAAAAGTATTCCTTAAAGTAAAGTTTATTATATCTCTACTTTAGATAGCTAGGTATAATTATAAAACTACTACCTATATATCTTTTTATATTAATTAGCTTATTTATTACTTCCTAGGTTAATTAGTTTACTTAGAAAGATAATACTTTTATACTATTCCTTATAATAGTTTATTAGGAGACCTCTAAAGTTATCTAGAAGTAGTACTAGCTTACTAGAGACTCTACTATAAAAAAGGCTATATATAAGGTCTTTAAGCTTAATATCTAGAAGGATCTTCTAATACCTATAATAATTAATAATTATAATTATAATATAAATAGTATTAATAAGAGTAATTAAATAAGGTTATACTATTTATATAGTTATTTTATTTATTATAGCAGCTAGTAGTTATTAGCTTAAAACTTCTTACTTAAAGTTATTATTATAAATACCTTTTTATTATAGCTATAAAGGTAGAGTGACTAAAATATAATTAGAAGTTAGATATAATAGTATTAAATGCTTTATATCTAGCTATTTTAGCGTTTTAGGTTATTAATAGAAGCTTATAGAAAGGGTTATCTTTATAGGGCGACTAATTAATATAATAATAATCTTTTATAATAGTATTATATATAGGGTAATTATAGGGTTAACTCCCCTTATATAGCTTATAGTAAGGTCTCTATTATAAAAGATTAGATAGTTATAGCTAAGATATCTAGGAATAGCTTTACTTAGTAGCTTTATTATAAGTATATAAGATCTAGCTATATTTATTATAATATAGCTCTATATACTAAGGGAGATTACTAGTATAACTTCTACACTTAGAATATATAGAGAACAGAAATACTAGATATCTAGCTAGTTTAATTAAGTAGAAAAAAAAGAAGGCAGGCTTCTAATTAGTACTACTCTGCGCGAGGGGTTTCTGGCGTCATTCGGCAGTTAATGGGATACGAATCCCCGGGGAAGAGGATGTGACTCCGATCCGGCATTCGCGGTTGAGCATGCTAGCGATGCTCCACTTGGAAAGGGGTTGACTGTTTTCTAGGAGAAAGTATTACCTCCTTATTGGTATCAAGGAGGCTGAAGACTGTCTGGGCTGTCAACTGTGATTGGCATATCACACCTGGTCTGTTTGATTGAGGCACAACTATTTGACAGTGTAGTCTCAACTTTGGGCAACTCTGCCATCATGGATAGTTGGTAATTATTTTAACAAAGATCTCATTCTAATTTTCCAGCGTAAGGTATGTAGTCATTCGAGAGAAGAATCGCAGCTTAGTCTGCTCAGCACGTAGTACGTGCCATTCTTCACAAGCCGCGACTGATGTTGTTTTCCTACCTCTTTTTCATTCGTTGATCTCATTTCAACTTGAGTTACCCACCAACGAATGGCTGGTACTCCCACAAAACCGGTCCCCGATCAATACCGAAGTCGCGGTTAACCTCCCGCCGGAATGTCCGAGCACAGCGAGTAACGGCTCGGCCTCGCGACAAGACAATCTGCCCGGGTTCGGATGACGTAACAGGTAACAACGGACAAAACGTCTGGCTAGCATTTTGCCGTCATATCCGCAATCTGTCATTGGAGTACTTGGATGAACCATTCGAAGCCGACAATGGCGAGTCCGGGGACCTGCTTTGCCTGCCCCCCCCCCCACTCCCTCCGCAACTTGCCATCGGCAGTGTCTCTGCTGAGGTGGCTGAATGCGGAGAAAGCCCCAACTACCAATTTAGCGGTCATCTATCACAAGTGGGAGGGGAGGAGACAGAGATGGTATGGTACCGTGATTTTTAAAGTGTTCAAGATCAGACTAATCCACATTACACATCACTTGCTTCCGAATTTGTCTCACTTGCTACAGCCTGGTCAATGCCTCCATCAAACACGATGCACGTTTTGTTGACGCTATCCGATGTGCCATAATGTCGGCTCCGTTAAAACACTAGCTGGTCTCAGTTGCCGCCCGTGACAGCCCAACCTTGTGCCTCAATCTGTCTGTAAACTTTGTGGCACCAACTCAACATAATATCCATCCTTTTCGTGTTTGTTTAGCCCTGATCTTGAAGGGAGTGTCGTAAAAAGGTGCAGCAGATGAACTTACGGGATCTTCAACCATTGCAACTTGCTTGATGGTCTCTTTGTAGCTCTCCACCGTGTCTTCAGCACCGACGCCACGTTCCTTTTCCCACTCTGTCAACGGGATACTAGCGCGACCATTGAAGCCCAAATCCTTGACAACAGGGGCCCCGGCAGCTTTCAGTCTGGCTAGAATGCTCGGTACATCGGGCACGGTGAACCCCAAGTGTCCAAAGCCCAGGTGGGGAGGGGCGTTGCCGTTCGAGAATTGAATCCCGCCTTCTTCCAACGGCTTTTCAGCTCCGTGCATGTGCTTCAGTTCCAAGAAGCCGGTAGTGCGGGTGAAAGCGGCAAAGTCGGCAGTGTGCTCTGCCCAATATTTTAGATCAGCTCTGTCGTCATCGGTGGAGGGGAACCCCAAGTAGTAAATGGTGAATGGCCCGGTATTCAACGTCCATACGAGTCGCATTCCCAAGAGGTCTCTGTAAAAGTGAAGGCTTCTTTCGGGATCTCGAATTCGCATCATAATATGGTGCAATCTCATGCCGACGGCGGGATCAGTGTTCGGCAGAGGTGGCTGATCGAGGTGTCCCCCAATGTTGAAAACACCTGGGACTGGCTCGGACCTTGCTTGGTTCCAGATGTTATTGCTGGTGGATTGCATCTTGCCTTGCTCGACATGAACGCAGTCGTAGTGCATGATAAAAAACTGGATAGTCGGCACGTTAACGGCGGGCTATCTATTTAGACCCGTCAAAGCACCCAGATCTTCTTCGCATCACCTCGCTCAATCTCGGACACGCGAAAAATGCCGATGGCGCGGACTCATCAGCTCTGCGAGTATCTCGCTCTTCGTCGGCCTTTGTAACAACACAACGTCGTGTGGATCACTGGATGCATATGAAGGGAAAGACTCAAAATTGGTTCATTGATGAGTGCTTTTTAGGTACAGCCGGCGAATCCCAACTTTCAGCACAAGGAGATTTATCCATCGCCCAGACCGTTCGCATCGTGACAGAGAAACCGACAACAGTATCAGAACCACTTGCTAGCATGTCTTCTGAAGAGAGCCGTCGAGTTCTAGTCATTGGCGCTGGTGAGTTCTCAGTTGCACCATAGTCATTCCAGCACTAATCATTGCCCCAAGGAGCCACTGGCTTGTTGATTGCCCAAGGATTGAAAAAGGTGAGTTTGTGCTGCAGGGTGACTTCTCAATTGTAAAAGACACCATTTTAACATGGCCCAAGGCCGGCATACCAGTCCAAGTCTTCGAGAAGCAGTCTTACGAAAAGTATCAAAACAGAGCAGGTCTTTGGGGAATGGCGTTGCACTGGGCTACTCACAACATTGATGAATGTCTGCCTGCAGACCTTGCCGCCAACCTCAAGGACGCGCAGACGGACCCATACGCCGACATTCCCCAAGAGGCCTCCAAGACAATTCCCATGTATAATGGCAAGACGGGGGATCTCGTAACTCACGTTGCAGCCGATGGACCAAGGCGGGTTCACCGCGGTCGGCTCAGAGACTTCCTCCGTACAGGGTTAGATGTCCGATTTGGCAGAGAGATGCAGTCCTTTTCGGTAGAAAATGGCGTTGTGACTGCTGCTTTCAACAATGGAGGGGAGGTCTGGAAAGGGGCTTTTTTGATTGGGGCTGACGGACGTAAGTCATCGCGGGTGCGAAGCCAAGCTTTATTAGGCTATGGCTAACTTCTTTTCTCAGCCCGCAGCAAAGTGCGGGACGCAGCTCTTCCTGAAAACGCAACCGATCTGACACCTGCTCCGGTGGTAGTTTTCGTAAGTATTGTTCTCCTCAGTTCACCTTTAAAAAGCTGACCAGAGTAGAATTTCGGGGCAACTTTCACCGCAGACCAGGCCTCACATCTGCGTAGTCAAATACATCCCGTTGCAACAGTACGTCCAGACATGTTGCTCAAGAAATCCACAGAGTTAACGCGGCACAGTTGGGTCCTCATCCCGGACAAAAGACGTATTACTTCTTGACTAGTATGTCATCAACCCTCTGGCTTTTGTACACGAACCTGACTTCAAGTAGTGGGCGACGTCAAAAGCCCCAATGACCCAGCGTCATGGGTATTCCAGGTCTCGCTTTCTTACTGGCCTGATGACGCAGAAGAACAGCCCAAGACCCAAGAGGAACGCATGGCGCTGTTCAAAAAGTTGGGATCAAACTACTGCGAGCCCTTCAAGTCAGTGGCCGAATGGGTGAAGCCAGACACACACCTTCCGATTGACCATGTAAGTGCACTCTGCGAAAGACCCAAGGGGATTCAGTGGAAACGCTAACAAGGGACATTTTGGCTCGTGGACGAAAATCCAACGCTGGAACAATTTTGGAGGCCGAGTCCTAATCGCTGGTGATGCGGCGCATCCCATGGTGCCTTGTGAGTCGGGCGTCGCCACGGTCTATAATTCTGGTGGGACTAACACGTGGGTAGACCGCGCACAGGGTCTGAACAACGCTCTCGAGGACGCCGGGTCCTGCGTCCGCACACTGATCAACGTCCTCAATGAAGGGCAAAATGTTGTCGACGCGGTAGCTTCATACGATAAAGATGTCTATGAGCGCGGAAAGTCAGAGATCAGCCTCTCAAACACCCAGATGTATGCGTGCCACCACTGGGACGTCTTGATGGAGAGTAAACTTGTACGGGATGGTTTTGCTAAATGCTGAAAGTCACCGCGGTGATAGTTTCTGGTGCATCGGTTCATGCAGGAGCGAGTCACATGCTTTAATCAATTTTCCATTAATTAGATTGCACATGAGCGCCACAGCTGTCTACAAGTGCTGTGCTTCGGTTGGTTAGACGTTGAATTTTTATTGACCAATCCACAACCTGCTTTGCCCTGCCGATTTCCGAACTTCTGTTCCTGCAGATATATCATCTTTTATGAGGCGGTGACACGTTGTAGATTGCATTCTCATACCGATTTCCGAGCTACGTCATGAGTTGTTCTAGTGTAGCCCTACGCCGAAGGGAAAGATTGTTGGAGGGAACGGTGACTTTGCGATCTCAAAGGTTGTCAAGACTTTGAAGATCAACGTCCTCAGTGCGAAGCTTTAGCTTCACTTCTGAAACAGCGAGACCTCGAATCGATTGAAGAAATAGACGATTAGCGAGGAGATAATAATTCACAATAATGAATGGAAAATGAATGTACTAGCAAAAATGTCTGTTCGGGGAAAGAAGAAGCTCGGCGCTACGGCTTTTAAGAAAACGACAGGATGCCAGTCTTCAAAACATTCTTGAATGAGCATGATGGACGATAGCCTACTACTTATCGCCAAGGCATCAGACGGGCGAGGGCCAAGAGACCAAGGCGGAATTGCGAATTGAATGTTCCCGGTGGATGATTCAGGGCGATAAAACATCAAGTTGATAGAATCTCGGCAAGTACCTCCAAAGCTAAGTGCATCTCAAGCCAGGCATCGTGACATTCCCGCGGCTGCAGCCCGGATAACAGCCGGTACTTCGGGAAGCCCCGTGTTTGAGTTTGAATTTTCAGCCCCTGACAGGAACAAAATGACTCTCATTTGTAGCACAGGTTTTCTCAATAGTCCCCAGAAATCACCTTGAATCTAATGGATCGATGTTTACGACTAGTTGACGGGCCGTGTTCCGACGAACAGCAGCCCGAATATTGTGTGCATGACAGCGCCTGACCCGCAAGATTGAGATCTCCTGATCGAGTTTCCAAGACATTTCCATCTAAGTCTGCTGTTTGCCGCGGTTTTCCATCCGACAATAACTTCCAGCGTCTCGTGGCATTGTAGAATACGACCCTGGATGTGTGGAAGCGAATATTAAGGACTACGTCAGCAAGGCACGACACCAATCGAAGCCGGATGTTAATATGAATTATATGAAGTCCACGGAGCGTCAACCTCCGTCTGCCGTGATGTTTTCCCGTTTACCCCGCTATAAAACCAATGAGGGCGACATATTTATCCCCGCCTCGCCTGTTTGTCGCTCGAATGCCTGCTGGCCAAGACTTCCCCCCGCAGATCCCCCAGACGCCTCTTCGGCAAAAAGCCAGAGCCAAGAGCCATCGGGCCACACTCTATTTCTTGGCCCCTGAGTCCAACCCAAGCGAAGCCTGACAGGCCTCGCGGCCTGCACTACCGGCTCCCGCTTTGCTGCCATCGGAACCAAACTCGCATGCCGTCCTCTGCCGCTCGACCTCTCCTAATGCGAGTGGCGTGGCAATCGATTATTTTGCGACCCAGACTTACACGGCGCGCGGTAAGTGAGATTACGTTAGGAGTTGCTATTTGTTGATTCATGCCGGGTTGCTAACGGAGTGGCGATGATCAGATATCGGAGCTCTCGGCTGAGGCCCGAGTCGGCGCAGAGCCGAAGAGGAAACTCCCCAAGACTCAAAACATCCACTTCTTGTCTTCTTTTCATGCCTGTATGGCTGGAAAAACTTCAAGCTCACTTGCCAAGCGCAAACATGTGGACGTGGATACATGCAGGGGAGCTTCTTTCCAGAAGTGCGCTGCGGGAGAAAGAGACAGCGCGGCCTTCTACCTACGCGTCCCTGTCAGCAATCGCCGAGACGGACCAGGGAGCCCTGCCGGATCAGTTCGGACATCGAACTAGCGAGAACCGAAGACGGCTGCGATCAGCGGCCGCTTCTGAGGGCTCACGCAACATCTAGCCGCCCATCCCGGACCTCTCTGCTGCCTCCCGCCGACGCCGAGACATTGCCCATGGATAACATGACTTGGCTCATCACAATCCGTCCGCCACAACCCGTTGATATCTCAACATCCAGCCAATGGAGCAACCTGCGCCCCGTTGACAAGCCCTTGGCGACTGTTTGATATAGGGAGATTTCCGGCGCAAACGGCCACGAGTTCCACGGGTTTGGCGAGGAAATCGCTGCTTTGGGCAACTGCTTCTTCTGCTGGGATTGTCGTGGGTCCCTGAGGGCTTACGGGATCTTCGTCCCGCCTGCCACTTGAGTTCTTCTCCAGATGTGAAGTTGACTTCGAAGTTGAGGTCACATGAAGCATGTTGCCCCTTGAGAAGAGCCGCTCGGATGACACCTGGTCATGGGAAGGTTTGCCCCGTTTTGTCGATTGATGGTAGTTCATCTAATGATACTGTCACCGAACGACGACGCGATGCTACCGGATTTCGGGACGCCAAAGCAAATCTAAACGGCGAGCCTCATTCCGAAAGGGGGGGAAATCCAATTTTGAGGGACGAAGCTCGAAAGCATAAGTAGGACGATGGTTTCCACCCGAAGAAGATGATTTGGACTCCATCCTCATCACGCAATCCAGCAGTTCCCATTCTTCACCGGCAGCATTCCACTCCCTTTGGTTCTCTTCACGATGAAGTACACCATCACCGCTCTTTCCATGCTGGCCATGGCCGTGGCCCAGCAGGTCGGCACCGAGGAGGCTGAGGTTCACCCGAAGCTGAGCTGGTCCGACTGCACCTCTGGCTCCTGCAGCACCAAGAGCTCTGACGTTGTCATTGACGCCAACTGGCGCTGGGCTCACAACGTCGGGTACGTTGCCAATCTGATATCGACTTGCTATTTCGCACATGGGACTGACACGAACTCTCAGTGGCTACGAGAACTGCTACGATGGCAACCAGTGGACCGACAAGTGCTCCGGCCCTGATGACTGTGCTAAGAACTGTGCGGTTGAGGGAGCCAACTACTCGGGCACCTACGGTGTCTCAACCAGCGGCAACGCCATGACCCTGAAGTTTGTTCAAGAGCACCAGTACGGCAAGAACATCGGGTCTCGCATGTACCTCATGAACAGCGACTCCAAGTACCAGATGTTCACCCTCATGAACAACGAATTCGCCTTCGATGTCGATCTGTCTACCGTCGACTGTGGCATGAACAGTGCCCTGTACTTCGTTGCCATGAACGAGGATGGTGGTCTTGCCTCCGAGGCCAACAACGCTGCTGGTGCTAAGTACGGTACTGGCTACTGCGACGCTCAGTGTGCCCGTGACTTGAAGTTCATTGGCGGCAAGGTAAGCTCAATATGTCGTCTTCAAAGAGCCCCATGAACTGACTCGACCGTGTCATAGGGTAATATTGAGGGCTGGAAGCCTTCCGCCACCGACGAGAACTCTGGCTTCGGCAACCTCGGTGCTTGCTGCGCTGAGATTGACGTCTGGGAGTCCAACAAGCAGGCTTTCGCCCTGACTCCCCATCCTTGTGAGAACAACAACTACCACGTCTGCGAGACCACCTCTTGCGGCGGCACATACTCCGAGGATCGCTATGGCGGTGGCTGTGACGCCAACGGTTGCGACTACAACCCTTACCGCATGGGTAACCAAGACTTCTACGGACCGGGCAAGACTGTCGACACCACCAAGAAGTTCACGTAAGTCAAACCCTTAGCATTGCCAGACATATGGAACTCGTTGGCTGATAACACTCAACAGCGTTGTCACTCGTTTCGAGAACAACCGAATGTCCCAATTCTTCATCCAGGACGGCAACAAGATCGAGATCCCCGGCACCACCTACGAGGGCATCCCCAACGAAGATGCCGACATCACCCCCGAGTTCTGCGAGGCTCAGTTCTCCGTCTTTGGCGAGCGCGACCGCTTCAACGAGGTCGGCGGCTGGTCCAAGCTCAACAGCGCTCTCGAGATCCCCATGGTTCTCGTCATGTCCATCTGGAGCGACGTAAGTTTTGAACCTTCACTCTGGCACAAGACAGGATGGCGGCTAACAATTACACAGAACTTCGCCAACATGCTCTGGCTTGACTCTAGCTACCCCGTCGACCGTGCCGGCGAGCCTGGTGTTGACCGAGGCCCATGCCCCACCACCTCCGGCGTTCCCGCCGAGGTCATCGCCCAGAACCCCAACGGTCAGGTCATCTGGTCCAACCTTAAGTTCGGTCCCATTGGCAGCACCTACGATGTCTAAGGGATATGTAACGGATAGATGGAAACTTAGACCGTCATGTTGGGTATTGGCACTTTCAAAACTGTACATGGGGCAACACCGGAAAGGTCACGCCTTCGCTTGCTTTCTGTATATATCTTCTTTTCTTCCTCACTCTTTTGTAGATGAATGATATTTTTGCACTTGGTCTTGACTCATTCGTTCCACACGTTACAAAGCGATACAGGGTTTTAAGTACTGCGCTTGAGTCCTATCCTAAAATTGACATTGTCATCGCCGCTTTCAGACGATATTTTCTTCTCATTTAGCATCGCTGGACGGGTTATAAATGTTGCTATTGTGCCAGAGTGGCTACCGAGGAGCGGGGTTGCTTTGATACCATTTCTTCCGCGGAAGACAGCATTTCGTCAAACAAGGCTTTGACTGCAGGGCCAATAATATTTGCAGGCATGTCCCTCTCCAGATGTGTTTTTCCCGCCCGCAAATATTCAATGTCTGCTTTTGATGACATATTGGACGGGCATTTCATGATGCTTCTGTACAAAACAGCAATCGCCGCCATGTAATTAGTAGATTGAAATCTGGAAACCGTTAGATCTTCACTAGGCAGCTAGAAGCCGTAGAATGAACGTACAGAAGAGTATGCGTCTTGACATTCGTCTCTCCCATGCTACTCGATCAATTCGTCAGCAATAAACCAGTTATCAGTGAAGGCCTTTGAGTTAAAAGGTTATACACACTTGTTCAGGGCCTTGATGAAAGATCTCGCAGCTTCAACACGTATGGCCTCGCTCGCCTGAAACCTCAAAGGCTCAGGTTCTTCTGAGTTGCAGAACGCCGATCTCATGACGACGATCGACAAGTGGATTGTACGAAGAAAGTTGTAATAGTCTATGTGAAGCAAGAAGACGTGTGGGTGGGTATCCATCGGCGACAATACCACACCTTCTGGGCGACAAGCAACCGGTAAACCCTCTTTCCATGTTGCTAGGCGGTGGTCCACCTGAGAAATTCTCTGAAGCCTAGCAACAGCTGAGCAGTCCGATTGCATCACAAAACAGAATTGATTCTGAATTTGGTGCAACAAGTACCACCACTGAACGATATCGAGGAACCCGGGACTGGCCTCGAGCTCGGTGAAGGGTTGGTGGTCAATGACCATGAACTTTTCGAATACTTCGCTTGACGTCCCAGGTGAGCGCCCTTGAGACAGTGATAGGTTCCTATTACAGCACGTTAATAGGAAAATTTTGAAGAAGTATTATATTAGGCTCAGCTCACGCATCGAGACCAAAAGTCAAGAACCACAGGCGGGTGCGAATGGCGCGGCGGCGCTCGGAAAACCCAACATCTGGTGGATTTCTCTGGTGCAACCCTAGAGACTGTGCGATGCGGACTGCAAGGCCGCAAAACACCCATGCAATTCCGCACCTACCGAAGTAAAGTTGATATACGACCTATAACACAACTACTTGTGAGTATTTATTTCTTGAATTCAGGCGTACCCTGGCATGGTAAACTTACGTGAAGTAGTAAAATCTGTATCGAGGCTTCGCATGGGGCTGCGAGCGAGTCCAGCATTATGGACCAGGCTTGTCGGTAGCAGGTAGAATAGAGCTCATCGCCATCTCCGCATGGTTTAGATGTCCCGTCTCTGTCACTGAGAGCTCCTATAGAAATTGCAAGGTAGAACATGCAGTAGTCGAAAGTGTCAAGGTGGGTGCGCTCGTGAGTGTAAAACATCTCAGCCCGGACCATAAACAGGTCCTCATCTAGTATGGGCAGAGTGGCATTGATGTTGCGGAAATATGCTGCCCATAGAGAGAGAATATCAGCCACACGCCAGAGGTTTCTCGTGTTTGTGGTCAACCAACCTTGCAAGCTGGAAAAGGCTGTTCCTCGAGGTGGCAGTGACTGCGAAGAAAGACTTCGTAATGACAAAAGACCGATTTCTTCAATTTGTGGACCTGCCTCGACGAGAAAGCGGAGTTTGTCAGGCCCTAGAGGAAGATGTTGGCTTTTAAGACCGTCTGCTAGGCAAATAGCAAGGGTAGCAGCAACTGAGCTTCCACCTGGTAGTCCGGCAACGTGTTAATAGTTCAGTTGGGGATTGTGACATGCTGTAGCTTTGGCAGTTTACTCACCGAGATGGTGGCCCTGAGTTTCATTCTGTCGAATATAGATGGCGGGAGGCACCGCGTGGTATTGCGAGTCTAGCCTCCCGCCTTCACCCCGTAGAGTTTCTATGCTGGACACTCTGCCTCTTGTCATATTCTGGGCAGAGGGCTTGAAAGCCGATACTCCAGGGGAAATTGATGGGGAATTATCGAGTTCGCCGTTTTGGGGTAGCTGAGCCGGTAAGTCTGAATCGGCCTCAACTTCCGCGGCCAGAAGATCTGCGTTAATATCGAAGAACTCTTCTGAATTTGTGCTGTCAAAATCCCACAAGGCGGGTGGTACCGCGTCTCCGGAGTGGCGAAAGTCATGACGAGAACGTTGTGGTCCTGTTTCGCCGTGGAGCCCGGCGTAATAAGACCATCAGCGCTGCTACTTAATCAAGCTAAATCAATCAAATCAATTAATCAGCTAATCAAAACGAGGCTTTTTTTAGAGTTAATTAGCTAAACTCATAATACCCTTAGTTTAACTATTTTAATTAAACTAATATTACTTAGAAGAATAAAAATCTAGCTTCTAAACTAATTAGAATTTTTAAAAGATTTAATAAAAAAATAAAAAAGTTAATTAGATATTCTTTTCTAGTAACTTAAAGTTATAACTTTTTAAACTTTTATACTATAATTAATAACTTAAGTTAGTTTTAAACTAATATCTCTATAATTCCCTATATAATAAACTTATTATTAATCTATTAAGTCTTATTATAATATATCTCTAAAAAAAAAAAGAGTAAGTAGTTAATAATATTAATTTAATAATATTTTTATATTAATAAGTAGTAAAGTAAAGCTAAATACTTCTTAGTAATATTAGCTTTACTATTAAGAAGTATTAAAAATACTAAAAATATATTTTTTATTATACTACTTAATTAATATATTTTTAGCCTCCTTACTAAAGATTAAAAAAAGCTTATTTTTAACTTTTTTACTAGCTTTTAAAAATAACTTTTTTTAATATTACTATTAGTATTATTATTATTACTACTATTACTATTATACTTTAAAGCTTTACTTTTATATACTTCTAAACGCTTTTTTTAACCTCTCTCTTATTATTATAATATCTCTATTAATATATAACTAATATATTAATCACTTTATTAACTATAAAGTAACTCCTTAAAGGATTATTACTTAAATTTAAGTTTTTTTAATTATTAGTAATATATTAATTACTAACTTTAATAAGTATATTACTCTTAAAACTTTACTTTATACTATTTAGAAAGAATAGTATTATATTAATATAGAAGCTATTTTAAAAAAAAGTAATTAAAGCTATATCTCTTAGATTAGAAATAAAAGTATCTTTATTTATAAGATCCTCTTAAGTAGTATTAGAAGTATATTTATTATTTATTTACCCTCTATTATACTTTTTTATATATTAATAATATATCTAAATAATATTTATTAAGTTTACTAATATTATAATAAAGCTAATATCCTTAGAGAGCTATAAAAAGTTACTACTATATTTAGTACTAAAAAGTACTTTAAATCTACTTATTATATCTATAAAAAACACCTTTATACTAAATATCTATTTAGTAATAATTCTAAAGATAATAAGTACCTCCTTAAGTATTAATACTTTACTCTTATTACTATACTTTATAGTAGAGTCTCTTAGATTAAAAAGCTAGTTATTAGCTTTTTTATTAATATTAATAACTCTTTTTTAATATTTAATAACTAATATATATAGTATTTACTTAATCTCTTTAATTATAATATTTATAACTAAATATATTAGTTAAGAGACTCTTAGAAAACTTAATTATATTACTTCTATATTTCTAAGAAAGAATAGATTAAAAGTAAGATATAGAAAATATTTATAAAAATCTATATATTATTTAATTTATAAACCTCTCCTAATTAATATATTATTATTACTATATTTAGCTATTTTATTAACTAATTAGGGAAATAAACCTAATATTTATTAGCTTTCTACTATTAGTTTAATACTTACTTTAGTGAGAATATTACTATAACTATTTATACTACTTTTATAGATTAAAGATTTATTAATTAAGTTAGTATTACTATATTTAATAACGCTATAAATAATAATACTTACTTTAAAGCTTTCTTTCCTTCTCTATTATCTTTATATATAAAAACTAATACTTAATAATACTAAATTTAATATTATAGCTATATCTTTAACTTTATTAGTTATATTATTATTTATAGTATTAATAATAAAATATTTAAAGAAAAGTTTAACTATTTACTTAATACTAATAGAGTTTAAGATAACTTAGCTTATTAGAGGTAAAGAAACCTTATTAATAAGCTTAAGAATATTATTAAATATATTAAATTATTACTATAATAATTTAAAAGCTTCTTAGTTATTAGTAATAAAATTACTAATAATAATACTAACTTTACTCTATAAAAAAAGTTATCCTAAAAACTAAATCTAATATTAAATAATACTACTTAATAGAACTTAATATATAATATAATTAAATAAGCTTTATTTAAATATAACTAGATTAATAGTTATATCTTTTATATTTTAAGTCTTTTTAATAATATAGATTATATCTTAAGTAAGGATATCCTCACTAATAAAAACTAATATATCTTTATAAAGTTATATAAAATACTTAAGTTACTCTATAAGTAAACTAAAAAATATAAAAACTAAAATAAAAGTAATAAGTATAGCTAACTCTAAGAGGTTTTAGTAAGTATAAAGTATCTTTTAGATTATTTTAAAAATTAGTATAAGCTTTTTAATACCTTTACTAATACTAAGATTAACTATATAGCTATTTAACTTACTAAGAGTTAGTTATAGTAACTATCTTAACTTATAAAAATATCTTAATACTTTTAGTAAAGCTTAATAGTAGTTTTATAGTCCCTATTAATAATATCTTTACTTATTTATAACTTAAGTATTTATAGTTATAATACTTTTAAGATATTAACTTTAACTCTTATAAATATCTATACTTATTAATTATTAATAACTAATAAGTACTTAATAAATACTATACTAAGTTTATAGAATTTCCCCTCTATATTACTATAGTAATTCTATATTTTAAATAAGGTTTATAATAGCTTTAGAAGTATTAGAATACCTTAAAAACTTATATATAAGTATATAATACTTAAAAAAAACTTTATAAGTATTAATAATAATAGTATACTAATATATCTAACTAAGCTAATCTATAACTTTATCTATAACTTCTATAAACTATATTTATATTAATTATTATTACTCTAAAAACTAAGAACTCTAAATATTATTAATAATTAGCTAGTAAAGCTTATAATACTACTATTAATAATTTTAATAAGCTAAAGTAATATTTTTATCTCTCTATTACTTAGCTTATTAATAACCCTATTTAATAGTAGATTTTATATTAATAAACCTTCTTAATATTTAGTAAACTTATTCTTAATATTTTTACTATCTTAGTAATAATAATTAACTATAAAAAAGTATTTAGTTTTACTAAATTTCTATTAATATTATAGAAACTATTAATAATACTTTTAACGTTTAAATAGATTTAATACTTCTAGAACTAAGTTTAAAGTAGTATTATTACTATAAGTAGCTACTATTTTAAGTAGAGGAGCTAAAAAAGGTTAGATAGTTTTAGATTATTATATAATATATATTTTAATTCTCTAAGAATATTATAAGAGGTATTACTAACTTCCTATTTAAGTAATTATATTTAAAACTAATTAAAATAGTTAATTTAAATAAGACTATTATAATTATTGAGTTAATTAGTTAAATTTGACCCTTAGATTTGGCTTAATTGATTGGTTAGTAGCGCTGGAGACTATGAAGGCGGCATCACCGCTTGGCTTTCAAAACTAGGGCTTGTATTCACTGCAGGGTTTATCGAAAGACACATGCTTGAATCGTCGTGTTGATACGCTGTTTCGTGACCGCGGACATGAATGGTGCTTTCAGCAAACTCGTTATCATGTTCAGAATGTCTCGAGCTATTTAGGGTTGAACGCCGCCTTCCTCGGTCGGATGAAATGCACTGTGTGTTATAGAGTTGGCAATTGAGGCAGGGTCGCTGGCCAGAAGTGCATTTCAACTGTCGGCGCGGGTAGGTAAGCACAATGATCTCGTGGAATCGAGAGGAAAGGCATTTGCACGCACCCTTTTTTTACGGCAGTAGTCGCAAGCTCGAGCGACTCGCTTCGGTCGGTGGTGATGATTGAGAGGTGAACCGGACGTATCAGGCATGTCATCTAAGTGATTGCAGCGTCCTCAAGAGATCATCAGAAGCAGACTTGGTACGAACAGACAAGCTCTGTTGGACGGGGCAGAGCTTCGCTGATAAAGGGGTTCGCATAAAAGATGCACGGGCTCGCAGAGCTGCCGAACGACCTGTCGATCGTTTCTCTCTCGGTCCTTGGTGGATGGTCAAGCATCGAATCTACTCGACGGTGGTACGCACGCGACGTAAGGGAAACAAGGTTAAATCTACACAAGTAGGCACCAGCTCATGGGCTGATATGTTTGCAATGCTGAGCTACATCAGACGAAAGTAATTGACTCAATCCCTGTCGCACACCCATGGGTTTCCTGGCCAGACCTTGTACTCAGGTTCGTCTTCCTCTGCCTCTTCCCTGAGCAGTTCTCTCAATGATCGTCCATAGTCATTGCCATTGGGAAGCCTCTGAATCGTGTGAATATGGTATTTTGCAGGTTCGTCGTTCGTAAGGAAGACCCCGGAGTGATGGTCAAACTCAAACAGCGTAACCGGACTCTGGATTCGATAGTAGAAAGGGTCTGTCGAGCTAAAGCCGCCTATCCAGCAGAAATAGGTTTCCGACAAGTGTTCGCGAACATCTGCTAGCCGGAACTCAAGTGGCCCTGGCGGAAGAAGCGTAGAGGTGGAAATGATCGACACAAGCAATTCTCGCTGCTCGATGGTCATGTCGGTAGCTAGGACGCCTTCATAAGGAATAACTCGGTTATCTTGAAAGGCGCCAGCCAGATGTCTCTGCGCATGTATATTAGCCTAGATTTATGCCCGGTGCTCGACACGCGCACCTGATCAGCCGGGTTCCATCGACCCTCTGGCATGGCTGAGTCGTGCAATCCGGAGTACAGTTGCGCTTTCTTTTGCATTGCCGGCGAAAGCGACTTCATTAGCCGTAGACCCAGCTCGCTTTCCTCCGCACACAGCGTTATCCCTTTATCCGGGCCATCGTCGATAATCTGCTTGCATGTAAGCAACCTCCCAACTCGCACGTTGACTCCCAGTCAACGTCCTTGGCTGACATACACTTGGCTCAGCCCCGAGAAAGACTGGGCCGATGACCATCTGCTGTCGAGCGATGAAAACATTGAGAGCAAGGTGGTGGCCGAAAAGCATATATGACCACGGTTCTGTCTCTGAAGGTTCTCCGAAGATCGCGAAGCTATGCCGCCAAGAGTCATGTCAGATTAGTCGTCAATATTTGGTTTCACTTACAAATAACTATATTCGTTCAAAATTGCCTTTTTATGGCAAAGTTCACCGAGAAACTTATTGGTCTTCATTGCGCCTCTGACTTTGTCGAACCCCTTGTCGCTGAGAGAACTCTGCACGAGGTTCATGATGGCTTCGATTTTCGCTTTTTCCAAATCTTCGAGACGTAGGCCACACTTGAACAACACGAATTCGGGGTTCATCCATTTTCTCCTATCGCAGAATTGCGTATTCAGTTAGCACTTCCCAGAGATTTGGCATCCTGACTTACCAGTCCTCGGAATCAAGGCTGTGCGAGACGATCCTTTTCTCGCTGGGGCTCAGAGCTTGCAACAACGTCCGGGCTGCTTGCACCTGCAGTCTATCAGCCACACTCATGTTTCTCATACAAGGTGATCGAGCTACTATTTTTTGTGTTGGAGTCACTTCGTCCCGTAGAATATAGAGTCCCTCTTGTTTACGGCCATTGCAAGTGATACCATGAAACGGGACTTCGAGATTTGCTTTCCAAGCTGTCCAAAGCGGCTGAAGTTCCGGGTTGGTTACGATAGTTGTCGAATACTTGTACGGGTCGCTGTCGTCAATGTCTCCAAAACGTTGCCACCCTGTAAAATGTCGTCATTATGCAATTCGGACCATCGGCCCAACCATATTACTTTCCTTGTTTGGGTACATGACCATGATAGTCATATGCGTTTGAATCGTCGGAGGTTTGGGCCATGATGACATTAATGGTGCCAGTCCCTGTTTGGCTAATACTGTCGAAAGTCCAGAGGTGATTATTTCAAAGGTGAGGGCTCGTATATGTTTCGGCGGTGAAATACTCGAGATAAGGTCTACTGCTTGACTGCATGGTTTTGGTTTGGTTTCCGTGGAAGATGTGGCAAATCCAAGTCTGGAAGATGAAACTTCACCCGCCATCTCACTCTTAAGGCATTGAATTCGATGAATTACCAATCATAAGTCGTTTGAATGAAGATGCAGATAGATATAATTACGGAAGACTTCTGGTACTGTTGCACCCCCAGGCACAAGCCCGTGGTATTTTGTCTCATCGCAAATTTCACATGTCTAACACTGCGAAAGAATTCAATGACAAATACACAAATGCCAATCTGGCAACTGATGCATCACATTACGATGAGAGCGTTTTCCATTACCTAGTGCGACACCTGGAACTTGTGGACGGTGGAGCTATTGCGCCTGTTGCGCCTGGTATTATTGTGAGTTATGATCCTTTTCTACCAAATAAAGGGACGCAGTGCTGATGGCAGCTACAGGCCGCAATGCTTTGCGCCCAACGCCGTGGTGATGCGGTACCTAAACTGTTTCATGATCTGGCCTAAGTGAGAGACGTGGAAGGAACGAAGATATTGTTTGCATCTTTCAAGCTTGCTCTTGACCTGACGTGGCCTTTCACTGGACTGCCTCAGTGCATTCCCGCCTGTCTGGGTTTGATCGGCGAGCTCCGAGAGTTCGGTATTCGCATGTCGAATGAGATTGACAGGCAAGTTTCACTCCTTTCGCTGCACTATACACCACAACTAACAACATTTCATTAAGACCCTTGATCACAGATTTCGACTGGTTCAAGAAAGGGGTGCAAACTAACGAAGCCATTTACCGGGCTGTAGGAAACGAGGAAGTCCATCGCATGATGGGCGAGGTCTTCCCCGAAATCAGTCAGTTAGTTTTGTCTCGCTTTGACTCGTCAAGCTCACATTTACCAGCATACATCGCGAACGTTGCGGTATTCGGTTTCCTAGTTGGAGGCTCTGAGAGAACTCAAAGTCTTCCTTTATGCGAAATCACCATTGCCGGCGCAATAGCCGCACTAGGGGCAACGAGGCAGGCGAAGAGTCACTTGAAAGGTTCCATGGGACTGGGAATATCCGTGGCAGTGATTGAAGCCGTTCTGTATGCCGCGGAACAGGTGGCAAAATGGAACGATACTAAGCTTCCCGGGAAGATTGATGTGACGGTCTTGGCAAAGGAGGTTGAGGCGAATCTTGGGAATCTGCGAAGAGTGTAGGTAGTCCATATTGACTTCCAGAGAAGGTTTGAACCGTTGGGGGCACGGAAACAAGATGAAACTTTCGGACGATAATTCCCCTTTTAAGTTATGACTTTCTGAGGTCGTCACGATCAGGGTGTTCTTCATCGTTTCTTAGGAACGTCGTTAAATTTTCTCGGAAGGTCTATCAACCGATGTCGGTCCTCGGACTGGATTAACCACCGGCAAGGCTTACATAGTTCATCTGATCATGATCCATGGAGAAGTCGGAAGAGCGATGTACCGCCGCCCCGATCATCACCATAACCCCTTTATACCTTACCTAGGTCAACTGTGGCAATCAAATTGCATGTGCTCTTGGTACCAGGGAATCATCAATCAAGGGCATTCAGACCTCCGTGGAAAATCCCCTCCATGAGGATCTCTATCTTCCGACCGCCTAGGCACCAAGCTTTCGCACTTATTCCAGGAATAAATCATTCTGAGCCTTTCTCAGTGCTTCTTTCGCAGTTCATTATACCAGATTGATAGCAAGTTCCGTCCCACAGCAATACTAAGCAACATCTAATAGCCAGAATGGACTCCAAACTAGTCATCAACAGTTACAACATGCCTCTATGCGACACAATTCCACCCTAAAATGAAGACAATTATTTTCCATATTCTTTCAAAGAAAAAAGGAAAGAACTTCTGCCCATAGGGTAGCGAAAGACACCGCGAAGTCAACCTCTTCCTAGCGAAATAATCTACAAGGTGAATAAGGAGATGAAGCACTCCAACGGAGTCAAAGTAATACTACCACGCCGCAAAACTCATAAACGAGGGAGCCTACTCAGATGCTGCAGATATACTACAATATTTATCAGCCAAACACTTCAGAAAAGGTTCCTACGCTGCTTGCCTTGAGCCCCTACCGAAAAGGGGGGCATAGATTCCATAACTACAATCTTATGCCGTATAGGGTTAGCGTAAAAGAGGAAATACTCTCTAGGCTAGAGAAGTTTAAGTCGTATATTAATATAGAGTCATTCTCATACTCAGATAGTTGCCTAAGAAGTTCACAGGGTTAACCCCACCAAATAGGTTCCACGAGGTTACGCCATCATCAGCGTTAATATCCAGGGTTCGTAGGACTCAGAGGGAGACCTATTCATCGAGGGAACAGGGGCCAGTATAGACAGGTCCTTTTGTGTTATCCTTCAAACACGACTAACAGTCTTGCAGGCCGAGATGGTGCAGAAATCGTGGAGCATATCGCCAGCCTGCCCTGGTGCTCAGGCTCTGTGGGAATGCAAGGTAATTCGTGGCTAGCCCAGATACAGTGGAGCACCGCGTCACTTTGCCCTCCTTCTCTCAAGGCCATTGCACCCTGGGAAGGCTTCACAGACAAATATCGCGACGTTCTGTGTCGAGGCGGCATACCTGACGCTACCTTTGATAACCTTCTTTATCGTGCAACTGTCCGCGGCCGACAGAAGCGAGAGGACGTTGCGAAAGCAATTGAGAAATGGCCTTTAATGAACCCATACTGGGAGGACAAGATACCCAAGATCGAAAACATCAACATACCCATATACGTCGTTGCAGGCTACAGCTCCAGCATTCACAGCTACAGAACTATCCAAGGCTTTCGAGCAGCTAAGAGCAAGAAGAAGTAGCTTCAGGTTCATTATACGTAAGAATGGTTTGATATCTACAGACCCAACATAACAGACGAGCTTCAAGCCTTCTTTGACCGATATTTGAAGGGCATTGAAAATGACTAGGAGGACACCAATCCAGTGCGAGTGTCGATCCTGACGTTCAGAAACCGCTTCAGCCCTATGAGTGCCCTACAATGCCCTAGGCTACATAACTAACCAACTGTTCCTCCTAGAAACCAATCAAACACTTCCCAATAGGTAGTTATCCTCACAAAAAGACCAAATACAAGAAACTCTACCTAACCGAGGACAAACTCTCCCTCTACTACCCAGAAGCCACCAGCGTCGCTTCTTATCAATCCGATAATGCGAATGCGAAGGCGGCAGACTTTCTCTTTACATTCTCCGATACCACCACATTAATAGGATTCACTAAGGCTAAGCTTTAGGTATCATGCAATGAGTCAGATGACATAGATATCTACGTGAGCTTAAGGAAAGTAAGCAAGTCTGGAAAGGTCCTCAAGCACATCAACATACCATGGAGCGCGCTACCCCAGAGCCACAGCTATCAAGAGGATGTGGTAGGCTCCAACATTATCAAGGTGAGTCGTTCGGACTATCTTCTGAATCCATATTGACTCATTACGCGAAGTTTACTGGATCTCACGGAATGCTGCGTGTCTCCCATCGCGCTACCGACCGATCCAAACAAAACTCCATCATGCCATATCATCCCCACATGGAAGCTCAGAAGGTCCCGCCGGGCGAGATCGTTCCCATTGAGATAGGTCTTTGGCCGATCGGGATGCAGTTTTACGAAGGTGAAAGTCTTCTATTTCGCGTGGGGGGCAGCAAAGACGCCTACTTGGAGATACCGGATATGCAAACGCCCAGTGTTTACGGAATAAATAGGGGCAAGCATCATCTTCACTTTGGCGGGAAGTTCAACTCATATGTGGTCGTTCCTGTCATTCCAACTGTTTGAATAGTACGCTCGTTGAGTAGACCTTACGGTCAATACTCTCTAGGCGACCCTATTTCTCTTGCATGCAAGCTACCATCTTTGCTGAGTTGCAGAAATTTGAGCATGATTGCAACCCTGGGGAGTAGAACAGGAAGGTATGTCGCAGTAAGATTTACCCTCCAATTGCCTTGATGTCTGTCGCAGGTAGGCTTCGAGCATCGTGAAGTATAGACTGTGGCAATGCTAGAGGGGAAATGAGAATAATACACCATCAAATTGAAACTGCAGTGACCTTTCCATAATAGCACAAAATTCTATGTCGGAAAGGCGTCTGAGTAACGGGTGCCGTTGTAGAGCTACCAGCTTTCCAATCTGTGGAATAGTGGAATATTAACATGTAGAACTGTTCCAGAGATGCCGGAGAAGGTGTATGTAGGCCATGGTGACCAGTGTTCTTCGGTATTCCAAAATGTCCGGCATTGACTAGACAATCCACGGAAATGCAAGGCAAACTCTATAACTAAGCGCACGTGCGTCCTCGGTGGCAAATAAGTGCACCATATGTTCGATGATTTCATAACTTAGCAGTCTAGTTCCTTCATATCTTAAAATCGGGTCTTGCTCAACCTCATTCCGAAGCCTACATACCAACCCATTCGTACTACCTGTGGCACTTTCACAATGGTAAGCATCGCTCAAGCACCCGACAACCCAAGCGATGTGAGCCACAAGCCACCGGCGACGACGACGGTCCTCATCGTCGGCGCGGGCCCCGCGGGATTGATGACCGCGTATCTTCTAGCCAGACAACAAATCCCTTCCATCATAATCACACGCTACCCCTCGCGGCTAGGTCAACCCAAAGCTCACGCCGTCAACCCGCGGAGCCTCGAGATAATGAGGCAAGCCGGACTTGACATCAACAAGCTGCGAAGTCTAGGCTCAACGACACAAGACTCCTTTTGGGTACGGTTCAACTTGGGCCTGGCGGCTCAGGAATTAGGCAAACTTCCATACGAACGTCAAGATGAGGCTGTCAAGGACGTCACCCCTGAGCCCCTTTTCAATGTCGCTCAGCCGGTTTTGGAAGAGTTTCTTCAAGAAGCGGTCCTCTTGAGTGGAATGGTTTCCATCTACTCTTCGTGGGACTGGGAGGATGTCGAGTTCGAGGAAGGAAAGTTGATTTCATTGATGGCAAGCAGATCAGACGCTTCAAAGACGGTGAAGATAACATCACAATACATCGTCGGTGCTGATGGAGGCGATTCAACAGTCCGCTCAAGACTGCCCAACGTCTTATGGGCATCACCAGATGGGATCGACAGGCCAAAAAGATTTTACTGCTCCATTCACGCATCCGGCGACTTGACCAGGTCATTTGCCAACAGAGACAGGCGCGGTCAGCTGTCCTTCTGTCTCAACCCGGATCACAGGGGAGGGGTGATTATTTACGACCCGCACCACTCTTGGGTCCATGTACGACCCATTGAGCTCGACCGTGAGCCTCTTGGAAGTTTCACGGATGCCAGATGCCAGGAAATAATCCGCTCCTGTATCGGATCGAATGTGGAAGCGAAAATTCTATCCGTGAATGTTTGGAACACGTGGCCCAAGGTAGCAAGTGCCTACAGCGACACTACTCAGCGAATTCATCTCGTCGGAGACTCAGCACACTCTTTCCCTCCTCAAGGAGGCCTGGGCATCAACACCGGGATAGGAGACGCCCACAACCTAGCATGGAAACTCGGCATCGCCATCCGCTCTGGATCGCACCTCGCATCTTTGTTGGTTACATATTCAGAAGAACGACAGCCTGTAGCGGTAGCAAACTCGGTTCAATCGGCACATAACGAAGCCAGGTGGCTCGAACTCAACAAGACGGTCGAGAAATCGGTGCGAAAGGCGTCGGCTGAAAGAGCATCATTCAGCTGCCATGCGATGAAGATGGAGTTCGAACAGAGCCTGGCACTCAACAAGCCGCATTTTGATTCGCTGGCTCTTCAGATCGGATATGTTTATGACAGGGGTAAGGATCCCAAGCGACTTCTTGCAGACTGCTCCGATTACCAGCCATCGTCCGCCATTGGCGCTCGGCTACCGCATGCGTGGCTTGCAAATGGTAGATCAACGTTGGATTTGATTCCCGAGGAAGAATTCAGCCTCCTTCACTATGATCGAGGCTTGAAATATCCCAGTTCGAGCCGTAAGGTTGGCTCCAGCGATGTTCGGTTACGCAGTGTGGACGTCTCTGTCGCCGGTGCAGAGGGACCTTGGATCAGCATCATGGGGTTGAGAGGGGAAACCGCTGTTTTGATTCGGCCAGATCAACACATTCTTGGTCACACGGGATCTGTAGACGAGGCATGGGGTATTATTGGCCGGTATCTTGGCAAGGAAGCTGGCTTGTTTTCGCATTAGCTTACAGGAACATGTTTCGAAGGATGCGTTTGAATTGAAGAAACATGGATTGACACTCCATGATCTCTTTTCTAAGTAGCCTCTAGTTCAAAAGAGCACCGGCTGCAGACCAGAGGTCTGACGATCTCGCTTGTTGAGTGTTAAGTAAGCTCACACCCTTCCAATTGTCAATAAGGCCATGACTGAATCAGAGGAATGCACCTGTCTCAAGCATGGAAAGAAAAACTAGTTTGAAGCCTCTTTTCTCAGTAGTCGTACAGAATCGGATTCTCGAAAACGCAAAAATAATACCTAGGTCCTAGTGCTCTGGCCTTGTGAGTTGGTCCCCACCTCTTGAGTGAGTTGAATCAAGCAGGCAGAATTGAACGAAGGCGACTGCAACCATTTGCCTTTATCATTAATATTGTCTCTTTTCTTGGTAGTCTTGCAAATCAGACGCTCACAGCTCCAGTCCTTTGAGTCTTAGGTTAGCTCTCGCCTTCACAGTGTTGTAAGCCAGATAGATAAAGCGGGCATAACTCATTTGACCCAGAAGGCGAGTGCAGCCTTGTGACTTTCCAGATTAACAGCACCCAGCTTGAGAACAGGATTAAAGACACTCTGACCTAATCCATTATATATAAGCAATTTTGTGACCCTGGCTGCTTTCTCTTCTCTACTCATTGTCTTTTTGGAGAAATCTCATGTGGAGACTCAATGACTTGATGCTCTCGCCTTTTTGGTCCTGGATAAGCTCTCGCCATGTGAGCAAGGTAGAAAAAGTGGTCACAAGTCAATGAAGGCGAGTGCACCCGCTTTGTAAGTTTGAGAGCACCCGCCTCGAACAGGAACAAACACACACACTACGTCAATTACTGTACAAGACCTGGACTCTTATCTGGATCCCACCTCGTTTTCAATGTTTTTTACTAAACCGCAATCTCTCCTCAACTTCAATCCATCACCAAAAATCGATCAACTATTCAACTTCAAGACGTCTGAGTCGCCGCAAACAGATCTCCGCAACAGGTCGCTAAACCGGTTTCGGAGCTTCAGCCACTCCGGGAACCGCGGGGCACCCCTGTAGCGGAATTTCTGGAACCCTTCAGACGCAGCTGAATAAGCTACAGGCAGCCGGAAGCAACGTCGACTTGGCCACAGCCACCAGCCACGTCAGGTACACGACCGCCTGGCCCAGCGAACGTGGTACATGTACCCGTACCCCCACACCTGGACCGACTTCCCTTCATCATCATCGTCGTTGACCTTTAACAACACTTTAGAAGAGATCGCCGCGACTACAGCTTCAAGATGTCGGGCGAATCTCCCGAGGCGCGGGAGAAGAGGCTCGTGGGGACTGTTCAGATCCGGATCCTCGAGGCCTCGAACAAGGAGGACAAGCTCAACGACATTCTGAAGAAGTACCTGTGCGCCCTGCTGCTCAAGGCGACCAGCGACCATGCATCAGTTCGCAACGAGGTAAGAGAACCCCCTGGCTTTGACTGATTCAATTGATTCTCATGCTCGCCGAAGGTTATCCAATTTGCTGGAAAGCTGAAGACGCTCATCATGCACCCGAGGTATGCCGGTTGTTCCCTGACGCTTCTGCCGGTTTGATTGAGATCTGGCCAGACTGACGGTGGCGACAGCATCATTTTGCCAGTTGAGGCTCTGGTCGACCAGTACAAGAAAGCCACATCACCCATTCTGCGTGTCTTGGACATGTCATTCATTCAGCACAGCATTGGTCGTATGGAAGATTACGACCGCCGCGCCCTCATCAACAAAGTTGCCGAGGGCATCTCATCACCATCGCCGACCCAAGCGTCAATGTTTAATGTCCTCCTCAAGATTCTTCCCGACATTCAGGTTCCATCACGCGGTAGCGAAGAGGACATGGCGTTCCGCGAGGCTAGCGGCCTGACCGAAGATGCGGACGCTGCGTTCATCGCCAAATGGCTCGGCAAGGTGCTCCTCCTGAGGATCCCCGGAGGCTCCAGTCCCAGCCGCCAGGACTTTGAGAGGATGAACCCTGCGCTCGCCCCGGAGGATCTGGACTTTCTCAAGCCTGAGCAGCGCGACACGGCAGCGGCGTTCCAGAAGATGCAGGACCTGCGCCGCAAGATTGCGCAGCTGCTGGCGAGTGGAGCGTTCAAGGATGAGGAGAGGCTTTTGCCCACTCTGTCTGCTGCCGCGAGCCCGGACTACCAGGTTTCACAGGTTGGAGAGGACATTTTGAAGAGAATGACGATCGACTTCGAGAAGAAGGAAATTGTCGAGGAGCTTTACAACTCTCACGCTAGACTTCCAGCGCCGCACCGCATTAGAATCCTCGGTCTGCTGTCCAGGTCCACGCTTGCGACGACAATGCACGACCGCATCCACGCCGTTGTCACCCTGGACTTCGGCACCGAGACTACCTCAAACACACCTGCCCATCTCCAAGCTGCCAGTGGTCTCGAACGAAACAAGCTCCACAAGGCCCTTTTCCACTTCATCAACTGGACCGCAACGCGGGGTCCGACTCAAGGACCGTTCACGATCGGCTCCAAGCTCATCAACATGATGCGCGGATACGTCGAGGACCAAGGTTGGCCCTCCCCGCGCACCTTGTCTGCAGACGAAGAGGTCCTTCGAGCCATGGCCTACGATCTCCTGGGGTCTCTGGGAATGGGAAGCCCCGGGTCCGCACAGGACAAGCTGCACCTCGTCGGCTGGCTTTTCCGATCCCTCTCGGAGGATCCCACGAACGAGACGGTTGTTAACATCGAGGGCTCGCTTTCGGGACTGACAAGGAGCTTCGACCCCAAGACCGTCAGCGGCGACGGACGCGGCAGCGGAAACGTGAGCCTCATCTCTCTGCTGCTGCACTACATGAACCTGTCCGAAGACGCCCCCGCGGTGCGTAGCGCGCGCTTTTCGGCCGTTAAGTGGGCGAACCAGACTATTGCATCGTGGGACGAGAGGGGACGATGGATCGACATCCTCGCCATCGCCGGACGCAGGGGCGAGAGGACGGAGGTTGTCGAGGAGGGCCGCAAGGGCTTGGACCCGTGGACGTACCGGGACGGCGAGGACCACAAGATGCCGGACTGGATCAAGCTGATGGTCTACTTCTTTTGCGAAAAGATCTCGGACGATTTTACCAGTGACGACTTCACTGGCACGACGAAGAAGTACAATTTGGAGTTTGAGGACGAGGCGACGATTCAGAACTTTGAAGGCGAGAAGATCTCGGCGTACCCTGTAGCCGTGGAGTACGTCAAGAGGGCCTTGTTCGTCGCCGCGCTCCCCGATTTCCCGCTCGTCCCCGGATGGGCTGAGCAGCTCGACACCCAAGTCCGGAACGACATCAAGACCCGCGACAAAATCCGCGCGTACCTCCGCTCAATCGACGAAGAGCACGTCGCGCTGCTGATCAAGGTCTGTTTCGACGGCGTGCGCTTTAGGAACAAGGAGGGCGCCAACCCTGTTGTTGAAAGCTGTCTGCGCTCCCTCGTCGACATCGCCTCGCTTTCCCCGTCGGGCGCGATCAACCATATTGCAGGTAACGCACACCTGCTGCAAGCATGCACGAGAAACAATAACCGCCACATTCGCTTCCTCGCTGCTCAAGCGTGCGGCATCCTGGTTCCCCATCCTCTTAACAAGGCGGATCTGGACATTCCTGATGCGACAGCCGCCAAGCAGGCCAGGAACCAGCACATCCAGGAGTTCCTGCACAACCTCAAGGCCACAACTTATGCATGGGAGAATTCAGTGGGCTCATATGCCAACGCAGTGGAGGGTTCTATACAGGCTTTCGGGCACATCTTCTCCAGGGCCGTGTACTACGGTCTGCCCATCCCGGCCGATACGCATTTGCCGTCGAAGCTGCTCATGGACAAGAGCTCCCACCGCCCCTCGCTCGAGGACGCGATCCTCGACTGCTACGCTGAGCTCTGGACCGCCGGCCTCTCGCAGTACATCCCAGACAATGTTAACAACCTCACAGCTGATTACGTGATTGAGAGGCTTGGGGAGAAGGCAGCAGCCGGGAGCGACAAGGCCATCTTCGCCCTGGGCCGGCTTGCGCTTGCATTCAACGAGCCCAATGAGGACGCAACGCCCGAGGACGGCCTGCTGTACCCATCGAGCAAGACTTCCGGCATCGACAATGTCCTCCGCGTGCTCTTCGGTCTTCACACCAGACGTGAGACAGAGATCCAGTTCACCGTCGGCGAGGCCATCACCGCCGCCATCGCGTGCTGGGACTCGGACTTTGTCAAACTTACTCTCAACGTCGATGCACCGGCCGGATCCTGGAAGAAGGAGAAGCGCAGCGTCAGAGTCACCGCCGTCCTCGACAAGCTGTTCAAAGACTGCAAGACGACGAAGCCCTCTCTTCTCAAGGCGTCCGGAATCTGGCTTTTCTGCGTGGTCCAGTACTGCGGCCACCTGACCGAGGTCCAGTCTCGTTTGAGAGAGGCCCAGGTCGCTTTCATGCGGCTTCTCAGCGCGAGAGACGAGCTGGTGCAGGAGACTGCCTCGCGCGGTCTGGCGCTGGTATACGAGAAGGGCGACGAGGATCTGAAGCAGGATCTGACGAGGGACTTGGTCTCCGCCTTCACCGGCAATAGCACGCAGATCAAGGTCGAAGAGGAGACGGAGCTTTTCGAGCCCGGTGCGCTGCCCACAGGGGAGGGCAAATCCGTCACTTCGTACAAGGATATCGTCAGCCTTGCAAACGAGGTAGGCGACCAGAGCCTGGTGTACAAGTTCATGTCTCTCGCCACGAACGCGGCGACCTGGTCAACGCGCTCTGCCTTTGGCAGGTTCGGTCTGAGCAACATTCTCTCCGAGTCAGAGGTTGACCCGAAGCTATATCCCAAGCTCTTCCGCTACCGCTTCGACCCGAACTCCAATGTCCAGCGGTCCATGGACGACATCTGGAAGGCTCTCGTCAAGAACCCGAACGAGACGATCAGCACCCACTTCGACGCCATCATGCAGGACCTGTTGAAGAACGTCCTTGGAAAGGAGTGGCGCGTCCGTCAGGCAAGCTGCGGCGCCATTTCCGATCTCATCTCAGGGCAGCCGTTCCACAAATACGAGCAGTACTACGCCGAGATATGGACTGCTGCGCTCAAGGTTCTCGACGACGTCAAGGGCTCCGTGCGCGAGGCGGCGCTGAAGCTGTGCATGGGCCTGACCAACACCATCGTCCGACAGCTCGAGGAAGGCGGATCATCATCTTCGGCACAGGCAATGCTGAAGCAGGCGCTGCGCTTCCTCCTCTCCCCCAGCGGCCTTGAGAGCGGCGTCGACGAGGTCAAGATGTTCTCGCTCAAGACAATCATCGACATCACAAAGAAGGGCGGTCCTAACCTGAAGCCATTCATCGTCGACTTCATCCCCCCTCTGCTCGGTCTCCACAGCACTATCGAGCCGGAGCAGATCAACTACGCCTACCAGAAGGTCAGCGAGGACTCCAGGGACCAGCTCGACAAGCTGCGCGCCAGATGGGTCAACCAGTCCCCCATCTTCGAGGCCATCGACAACTGCCTTCGACAGCTGGACGCGGAGGGCATGAAGCAGCTTGCGCCCAAGCTCGAGGAGATCATCAAGACAGCCATCGGCATGCCGACCAAGATCGCCTGCGCCCGACTCATCGGCGACCTGGTCATGCGCCACGCCGTCGACTTCAAGCCCGTCTCGTCCAAGTTCATGCAGCTCATGGAGAAGCAGGCCCTGGACCGCAACGACGAGGTCAGCAAGGGCTACGCGCGCGCCGTGGGATATCTTATGCGCATCGTCCCCGACGCGTCCAAGGAGCGGCTTGTTGATAAGTTTGTCGAGCTGTACTTTGGCAGCGAGGACGAGGCTCGTCGCGCCAAGGTCGCTGATGTGGTTCTTGGCGTCTCGAAGCTCGCTCCCGACCACTTCAACAGGCTCGCGGCCAAGTTCATCCCATTCACGTACATGGGTCTCCACGACACAGACGACTACACGCGCAAGTGCTTCGACGAAGTTTGGAGTCAGCACGGATGCAGCTCCCGCACCGTTGCGCGCTACGTTCCCGAGATTGTTGGTTTTGTGAAGAGGGGTCTCGAGGCGCCTCGGTGGAATTTGCAGCATACCGCGTCCTTCACGATTGCGGCAATGGTTAAGGCAGTCGTCAACTCGAGCGACGCCACCGGCCAAATTTCCGAGGCGAACTTGAAGGTCATCTGGCCCATCTTCGACAAGGCGCTTGCGGTGAAGACGTTCCCCGGCAAGGAGAAGCTGCTAGAGTCGTACCCGCAGTTTGTCGGCAAGGGGCAGAGCCTCTGGAAGAACGACCCCGCCGTGGCGGCGCAGCAGTTGAAGGTTGCTGTGCGGGAGGCGAAGCGCAACAACGAGGACTACCGGCCGCACGCGTTCAAGGCTCTGTGGAAGTTTGCCGAGCAGCGGGAGGACCGGGACATGCTGGAGGAAATTTCAGGCATCGTCAGCGGCGCCCTGGACGACATGCTCGACGAGGATAGGATGGACGTCGACGGGTCCGGGGACAAGCTCCGCAAGGCTGCCGTCAATGGTGTCGAGGCCATTGCTAGGGGCTACAACCGTCCTCAGATGAAGGAGGAGCCCGGCGCTGTGGCTAAGAAGGTGTTTGAGCTGCTGAAGCCGTACCTTGCGAGCGACAAGTTTGCAGCCATCAAGCGAGAGGTGTGGTACGAGTGCGTCAGGGACCTGATGAAGGCGGCTCCCAAGCCGCAGGCTGCTACGGGCGATAAGGCGACTGCTCAGGCGTATCTGAAGAGTCTCGATCTTGAACAGCCTGATAACGGCACCGAGTCGCAGCGGACGATGAGAGTTCTGGCTCTGGGACAAGTATTCGAGGCGATGCAGCGGGGCGTGTTTGGGCCGATTACGGCAGACGATAGGAAGGAGTACAAGGAGGCGGTGAAGAAGATGCTAGATGGCGAGAGGTCTTTGGAGGTGCAGAAGCATCTCAAGGAGATTCTGGCAGAGCTTGAGAAGTAGAGGTGACGTGCGATAGGCATGAAGGAGGACGACGGCATACGATGAAGACGCCGGAGACGACGGACGACGATAGGTGAGATCATGGCGATCTGTATAGAACTGGAAATCAAGGGGCAAGATACCCTTTGCTTGAGCTTTAGGAATTGAAATGGCTTTTTGAAACACTATTGCTGCTAGGGGATGGTGATGGCTTCAAGGTGGCTTAGCACTTCCAGGAGCACCAGCCACAGCATGAGGACCCTTGCGGCCTGTCCCGTGTGGCTAGAGAGCGGGATTATGTCATCGCGAAAACATTCCGCCATTCTCCCGGGCCGCTGCAGGCCGCACCGCACCGACGCCTAATTTCACCACAGCGGGCAGGCGGTTGCGTCACTGAGCTGGCGCCTTCAGGGTGGCACTGATTCGGCAACAGCAGCACCTGGCACCTGCGCCGCCGGGACAAGCCTTGAAGCCCGCATCCAGCAGCAGCAGCAGCAGCAGCAGCAGCAACCAACACCAACCACGACAACACTTCTGCGGCGCGCAGACATCCTTTTTCCCCGTATCAAATTCACCACCGCTGCCGCATCCAGGGCTTATATTTCTTTGTGTCCGGAGCCGCACCATCAACTTTCTTGAAACGCTTGAAAGGACCACAGCCAAAGAGGTCATCAACCCAAACGGGCCACTGAAGCACACGGACAGCCCAGGCCTGCAGCTGCCCCTCGCCCCTCGCCCCTCGCCTTGTGGCAGAACACCACCTACGGATTACGGATACTCCACGTCCACTGCCTTTCGGTTGAAGGTGGGGCAGAGGTGCCATCGTCTTCCTACTCCGAAGCCCTCTCTGCGTTCACCTCTCTGACCGCCACCAAAATATTTGTGTCCGACGCAAGCTTTTCTGCTGCCAGAGGCTTCATTCGATACTGCTTAATCAACCACCCTCCGGCACACCGAGTACCTACCCTCTGCCGCGCGCAAACCGCAACCATGGACGAGGACATCTCCAACTTCGTCGCCATCACGGCCGCCAGCCCGGAGGCTGCCCGCGGCTACCTCGAGATGGCTAACAACAACCTCGAGTCTGCCATCCAGCTCTTCTTCGAGAGCCCCGACCTTGCGAGCAGCTTCACCGCCGCTCCTGCCGCCAGCGCGTCCACAGCACCACCCGTCCCCGCAGCTACCCGACCAAACATCGGCCGCCAAGACGACCGCGGAATTATTCACATAGACAGCGATGACGACGGTGACACTGCCATGACCGTTGACGACGATGACGATACGTTTGGCCAAGACGACTCCGATATCGCGGCCCAGGCCCAGGTCGAGGCTATTGCACGGAACGCGCAGGAGGAGGAGGACGCCGCCATGGCCAAGAAATTACAAGAGGAGCTCTACGGCGGTGGCGCTGGCGGAGGAGGAGGAGGCGGGGCTGCCCCCGACGATGTCAGATCGCCTATCGCCAGAACTACGGAGACGCTGGTTGGAGGCTACGACGCCGACGACGGCATGGGTATGGACATGGATTCCATCATCCGAGCACAGATGCGCCAAAGAGAGGCGGCGAGAGCAGCGCGAGGTAAGCGACATGCTGCTATTGCGTCTCATATTGCTGGAGGCTAACAAGATTTGATCGCAGGTGGTGGTCCCTTCAGTCATAACTTGTCCATCTGGGACGACGACAGCCCGACGCCTCAGCCAGCCGCAACCGAAAGCGGTGCCCGCGCCCAGAGACTGGCGGAGCTCTTCCGCCCGCCCTACGACATCATGTCCAGATCGGACTGGGACGAAGCACGACAGGAGGGCAAGGACGACAAGAAGTGGATTTTGGTCAACCTGCAGGACATGAGCGACTTCAACTGCCAGGCTCTGAACCGCGACATCTGGAAGGACCCCGCCATCAGGCAATTGTTGGCAGAGAGCTTCATCTTTCTCCAGTACGACAAGTCCTCCATTTCCGCACAGCAGTACGTGACGTTCTACTTCCACCACGGTGGCCACGAGAACCCCGACAACTATCCCCACGTCGCCATCATCGATCCGAGAACAGGAGAGCAGGTTAAGGTCTGGAGCGGACGGCCGTTCCCCACCGCCACCGACTTCCACGCACAGCTGGCTGAGTTCCTCGACCGCTACAGCTTGGCGGCGAACAGCAAGAACCCTGTTGCGGACCAGACGACGCAGCGGCCCAAGACGGTCGACGTGGACCGGATGACGGAGGAGGAGATGCTGGAGATGGCGCTGCAGAACAGTCTCGAGACGTCCAACGGCGGCGGCAGCAGCAGCTCCAAGCCCAAGACGAGCGTGTTCGACCCCGACGCGCTCACCAAGTCGGATTCATCCAGCGAGAAGGGCAAGGCCCCTGCGGCGGACGAGGCGACGACTCCCACGGCGGAGGCACCTGCGCAGAGCATCTGGGCCAAGATCGCAAGCGACAAGCCCCACACAGAGCCCGAGAACAACCCCGCCACGACGACACGGATACAGTTCCGCCACCCCACCGGACGTGTCATCCGGCGGTTCAACCTCGACGACACGGTCAGACGCATCTACGAGTGGCTCAAGGCAGAGCCGCTGGAGGGCAAGGAGGGCGTTGAGTTCGAGCTGAAGCGCATGCCGCAGGGCCAGGACCTGACGGAGGAGTTGGACAAGACCATCATGGAGGCCGGCCTCAAACAGGGAACCGTCATGATTGAGTTCATCGAGGACTAGGGTTTGGCGAGGTTACGAGTGACGGATCGATAATGACAGCCGTTTTTGGGGGCAACGCGCATGAGTTCACACGGGCCGGGAGAGCATGACCGATAGATGGTACAGGGAGGACGACTGGTTTTCTTCCCTTTTTTTTCTCTTTTCTTGTTTTGTCGCTTCACTAGGGGACATTCACATACACATACCACGATGACACGGTGACAGCATTGGCTCGATGATGATTAGACAGGCGGGCTGGGACGTAATCCGCCGAGTACTGACAGAGGAAGGGCCGAGATGGGGGTGATGTTTCCCCCTTTGGCAACTACGGTAGACGAGCTTACAGAGGCGCATCAATAGACCTCGAAGACAGACATTTGTAAGATTTTGTGCGACGTGAAGGGTGAATGACTCTTTCAGAGGGATCCTGAGGCCCCTTCCCTGGACGGCTTTATCAACTCGCGAACTTTCACCAACCATCCGGGGGTCACCAGGTACCTACCTTCTCGAGTGACCAAGATGGAAGGCCCAGAGCTCATATGTTGACTGACTTTGGAGTCTCAACGCTGGTTTAGGAACATGGGCCATCATTATATTCGAGGTTGGTAAGAATCATGTGCGGATTTTCATTGAATTTTGGCTGAAGCTTTTCCTTCCTCCCCCTTGCTGCTCTTTTTTTTTTTTTTCCCACCCGTTGCTTATCGTGGGCTCGACAAACCTACCAACAAGGGCCCAGCTCCAATTCAGGTCGGGATAATGATTCAGCACACAGGAACCGCCAGCTAAAGTGGTCTTGAATTAACCGTACTGATTCTCTCGCGTTGGATTGGTCACAAAGCTTCATTGCATCTTGGTTCGAAGCAATGGCAGTCAAGAGAGCTCGCGCCCATGATGGCCAAAGAAATAGAGCAAGTTGCATACACCTGAGATGTGGACGTTTCACAGCGGTTCACCACGGTGAGCAGGCGCGTGTGGTAGCCAATCAAGCGGGCGTCGCGAACGGGTTCCTGGGCGGTAGTCGATTAGGTACCCAGCCAATCAGGAGGGCGCGGAGACTTGTCGGGTCAGAAGCTTTCCCATGTTTTTGGTGATTTTCTGGAGGTGCCTGTCTTGCTGGCCCGTGCGTCCCATTCGCTCGCTTAAAATCCTTACCTAAGGCTTCATTGTTTTTAGGCGATGGAGAGCGCTGACGTTTTTACTGGACAGGGGGAGGGGAGCAAATGTGAATCGCTTGCGGGGGGGGGGGGGGGGGCGGCCCAGTGAGGGGGAAAGGTTTGACATCAACAGCGGCTGGTTGCTGGTGAACCGACCCCTCTCGGCTGGGTGTAAACAAATGGTATGCACCTCGTTCCCAGTGAGGGAAGGCCGCCCGAGTCGATTGACCGGGACGGCACACTTGATACAATGAATAGCTTTGGGGGATATTGACTGGTGTTAACATGGTTGGGCAATATAGTGATTTTCGTGTATGTCCATGGCAGGTGTGTATTGAGCAGTCTGTTGTTAGGTGATTGAGTTGTGGTCAATCATCAAGTACCTTTTTAGCGTCAGGGGGTCAAGTGTGAATGAATGGAACGGGAAAAGACGAAGAAAACAACCACCACAACCACCACCACAACCACCACCACAACCACCACCACAAACATCAACAGACGCCTTCGCAGCCGCTTCTTTGTCCCTGAGCGGCGCAGGCTGTTTACCCCACACTCTTCCTCGTGTGTTCCTGCGTCCGTTCCCTCATCGCGTCGAGTCTAGCCAGCGCCAACACCCAAAAGCGTCACTCAAGCACACACACCACACCGTTCCGCCCCCAAGTTACTTTCTCTCTCAACTTTCAGCTCTTCTACCTTGAACGACTATTGTTGTCGAACATATCCAATCCCAAGAACCACTGCAAGTTACCATATCGTGTGTACTTGTTCTTGCACATTGCTCCGGAGCAAGGCACGGCAACACCTCAAAACAGCGACTCGGTGGCACTTTATTTTTGAAAAGGCTCGTTCCTTCTTAGGCCCTTGCAGCAGCTGCGAACTGACCCTCTCCTCTCCTTGCCTTACCTCATCTCATCTCACCTGCGCAGGAGCTTGCTTTCTTTTTTTTACCCTTCCTCACCGTCCGTTGTTTTGGTCATATTTCCAGCTGTGAAATCGGGCGCAGCGAGACACCGATTGACGTCTACCCGCCACGAGTCTACGACCACCTCGACCTCGACCTCGACGTCCAAGGAATGCGAATTGCCGCGGCCCGCTAGAGTGTCTCTCTCTTTCGCTGCCTCTGCGACATCCCTTTTTGGTATGTTCTGTTTCTGGTCGATTTCCCTTTGAAGAAGC